AAACAAAAATTAGTCTTAAAATCACACTTATTTGTTATTTCAAGACTTTTTTTTACTTTCTAGAATTTGTTCCTGTCGTGGTTGAACCCAGGACAGTTCCTCTTTTTGCTATAAAATCCCCTGAAATTATGCAAAGACAAAATTAAAAATAAAACTTGTAAAAATGTTAGTTTCTACTTAAGAAGAATAGTATGTAGAAAGCGGTTTAATAAATTTAAGTCTGTGTCTACCCATCTGTATAGCAAAGATTGCTGTGTAAAAATCTTTACAATGAAACGAAGAAGATTCTCTGAGGAAGTCTTATGGGACAAGCACTTTTATGTTATTGACAGAAATATTTATCTGGATTTCTGGTTTGCCTTGGCAACCAGTATATTGTACAGGAGAAGAGAAATCACGGAAGGAGAATTGATATTGAATCATTCTGAATAGGCTAAATCCTGTCAGATACTGAACTTTTATACAAATAGGAAATTGAGTTAAGGATTTATGAATCATGGGCAAAGAATAGTTTAGGTGGTTAGGGATCTCTGGAGGTTATTTGGTCCAAACTTCCAAGCCTAATGTAATTCTGTGTTAGATCAGGTTGCTGAAGACATTGTCAGAGGAGCTTTGAACGTCTCCAAGGATTCCCCAGCCTCTGAAACCCTTTTCAATGTTTGATAATGCTCTTTGTGAATTTCTTTATTCTAATACCTAATTAGTTATTGACTACCTTATTAATTTTTTATCTTCTTGTTCTAATCCCTCACTTGCTGAAGTTGATTAATTTTTACTTCTTTTTTCAACAAATGTAGATTTAGGCCAACACAGAACATTTTGGCATCTTGCACTGAAAATAATGTCACTTAGGGGTGTTGAGTTAACATTGTAATCCCCTGCAGCCATTCATCACAACTACTTGGTTTGTAAAACTAAGTTACACAAAGCACAGATTTCTGTAGTTGATTCAAGAATTGCTATTTAGCAAATAATTTTTTGCTGAACTGATACAGTTAACCACACTTTATAGAAAAGTCAGTTCATAGACACAGTGCTTTAGATAGAGCTTGGTTAAATGTTGTATTTCAGTCTTTTTTCCAGTGCTGTATTCTGCTCATGTTATTGTGTTTTTCAGGCTAGTGCAAATAGAATAGAAAGAGGTGTATATCTATCTTCTCTTTTTTGAAGTCCTTTGTGGTAATATTCTCTTGGGGAACATTCAGTGACTAATCTTTCCTCATGCCATAGAAGCTGTAGACCTTCATTCCTTTCCCATATACAAGTGCTCCTAATTGAGTACCCAGGGACTTTTAAAAGTTTTTTTCTTCTAATTTTGCAGAATCTGATTTTTTAAATTAAGCTTAAGTATTTAGTTATTCTAAAGATAAGAAATCTTATTGTCAGCCCTGAGCTTCCTGGAAGTTTGTAAACCTGGAAATACCTATCCTGAATATAATCATAGTATAGTTGTAGGAAGAGACCTCTGGAGATCATCTAGCTCACCTCCCTGCTCGAAGCAGTGCCTGTTACGGCAATGTATTCACCTGCTGTTGCCACAAGGATGCGTTGATGGCTTCTGGTCAGCTTGGTGTCCACTGGGACCTCCAGGTCCTTTTCCACCAAGCTACTTTCCAGTTGGCTGGCCCAGCCTGTGCTGGTGCATGAAGTTCATTCTTTCTCAGCTGCAGGACTTGTATTTCCACCACTGACCTTTGTAAGAGTTTGTTTCACCAGCTACTTGAGGCATCACAACCATCTGGTCTGTCAACCCCTCAACCTGGTTTTGTGTCATCCACATACTAGCAGAGGGTGTCCCATCACCCAGGTCATAAATGAAAACATTAAACAGTATTGCCTGCAGAGTAGACTCCTGAGGTAAACGACTCGTGGCTGGCTTCCAGCTGGCAGCCTTGCCACTGATCACAACCCTTTAAGCTTGATAGTTCAACCAGTTTTCAGTCCACATCACTTTCCATTTATCTAGTTTGTACATCATCGATTTATCTATGAGGATATTATGGGATGCAGTGTCAAAAGCCTTGCTAAAATAAGTTAAACCACTTCCACCATCCAAGCCAGTCATCTCATTGTGGAAGGCTGTCAAGTTGGTTGGTCAGGCATGTTTTCCCCTTCACAAATCCAGGCTGATGACTCCCAGTCACTTTTTGTCCTTTGTATGTTTGTAAATGATTTCTAGGAGTATTTGTTCCAAGTCTCAAGGCACTCCCAAATATAACACAGACTTCATTTTGTGAGGTCAGAAAAAAGTAAAACCAAATGTAGGAGCTAGAGGGAGAGGCTTATTGCTATACTTACACTTGGGAAATACCAGCTCTTCAATGAGCTGTGCAGTTAAACCAGCTCTGGTGCTGCTGGCTGGCAGTGAGCAATTGGTGTTGCAGAGACAGTAAGCAGTAGGACAGAAGTGTTGAGGCATGAGAACTTCCCCCCCTGGTTGAGGATTCCCAGTATCATAAAGTCACTGGGATCTCCTGTAGGATGAACTCAGAAGATGAGTCCTGAAGTTTTATACTTAAATGATATTGTCTATATGCATTTTGCTAGCACAAAAGAGGTTGAGCAAAATTGCTTCTAAGTATAGGGCTCTGTTAAGTTCTTCTATAGTTAGAACATTTAATAAAGGAATAGCATCTTCATTACATTGAGCTTACTGTGACTCTAAAGAAAAGATTTAGCATTTATTTTAATACATTTATTAGTACAAAATTGTCTAAATCTGAGCATCTAGAAATAATTCACTATAAACCTGAATTATTTAATATTTAAAGAAAATCTGTGGTGCAGCTCCTTTGGTAGATATAGAACAAAAATATTCCACAGTTGGAAAATTACAGGCTGTGTAGGTGTTGAAATGCCTCCTGCTTCACTTTCTTAATTGGCAGCAAGCCAGGTACTAAGCATTTCTGTTTTAAAGGGAAATGCTCCCCTATGCTTTACATTTCTGATGGATAAAGGTTGTGTTTTGGTTGTGGTTTTTAGCAGTTAGGATTTCTTCTACCTTGATACAAAATGAATACAATTTTCAATTAAATAGCTTCTCCAAGTTACCTTGACCTTTTGCATTATTGCTGGATAATACAAATATACACACCTTTTCCTCGCAAGTTTGTCTTAAGAATTTGTGGGCCTCATCCATGTTGTGACCTTTTTCTACTCTAGGAGCTTTAGATTTCTCAGTTTTACTTTAAAGCTTTGTTGGAATTAGTATGTGATACTCGGAGAAATCTGCCATAAGCATTAAAGGCTTTAATATTCATGGCTTTAAATAAGGTAATAAAATGGTTTTGAATAATGCAAAAATATTGCAAGCTGTAAATAGATCAGTTATGAGACATTAATTTAAGTCCATTTTCAGTAGTTGACAGAATACTGTTCTTTCACTGAGTTTAGGTGTTACTGGGAGATATGTTTTTGTTGAGAGCTCATACATGTTTACCAAATAAGATTGCAGGGTTGCTAATACGAAGATCAGTCTGAAAATCTGTAGTCTCATCCATTCTTGTTGTTTTGAATGGCATTAAAAAGGACTTCGGTGTGGCTTTGTCCTGTCAAAACTTGTCAACTTTCTTGTGTTTACAGACAACAGTTAAAAATATGGAGGGGTGTATATGGTAACTAGCCAGAACATTGGTTCCTAATATTTCTTCAGAATCATAGAATTGTAGGATAGTTATGGTTGGAAAAGACCTTAAGATCATCTAATTCTGACCCCCCTGGCATGGGCAGGGCCACCTTCCACTAGACCAGGTTGCTCAAGGTCTTAACAGAGGATTAAAAAAGGACTGTACCTATAATTTCATTTGACCTTCTGAAAGCCATGAATGTTGCGGGTGATGTAGAGCATTAACAGAATCTGTAAAGATGCTGCAGAAGGGCTTTGCATTTTAACTGTGAATTCCCCAGTACACTTCAGAGGCAAAACAAAACTAGAAGGTGGTTGTGCAAATCTGCTGTCCTGTGATCAATTTATGTACCTAGTCCCCTTCTTGAGCTCGTATGTTTAACTAAGAAAACTTCGAATCATGATGGGATGTGGAGTGATATATGGAAGTATTTTAACATAGATTTACTATGAATTTCTTTTGAAATTATGTGTATAATCATATTGTACTGTCACACTAAGAAAAAAGCTTGCATGGGTACAGTCGAGCTTTGTGTGCCTATTTAAAAATGAGCTGCTTAGCTGCTTTAACAAATCTGAATTTGCTTAGCAAAATGGATTTTTTGCATTTAAACAGGAAAAAGAATGTGTTGATATTTAGTTTTCTCTTTAAGCTTCGCATCCAGAGCCTTTCTCTTTCTTATTTGGTTCTAGGAGTTTATCCACTTGGGTAGTTTTTGTCTTCACTTCATGCCTTTTCTTCATAGCTGCCTACGGTTTCTCTCCCATTCTGCCTTTTTTTTTTAATTACTGTAGTTTTTTCAGTTGTGGGTTACCATTGAGAGAGACAGGATGAGGAGAAAGATATAAGATCTGTAATCTAACCACGTTTTTGCATCCTTTTTAATCATGTTTGTCACTATACATCTGATTATATATCTGACTGTTCTCCCCACAAAAAGGAAAAAATGGTAAATTTCTGTTAAAATGTTGTATGTTGAGTGTAGTTTTCATTTATATTTCCTATTTGTTTTCACTCCTTTTGCTTTATCACTTATATTGTTATAATATAAAAGCTTCCACAAAACCACTGCCTTGATCATCCAGTTTGAAAAGATCTCTCAAATATTTTTGATTTTTTAACAAATCTACACTAAAAATCAGAACATTCTATGTTGGAAATGGTACATAGTAGCTTTTATGGTAGATATATTTTTTAATGTTGTTTTCTACTACATACTATACAAAAAAAGAATAATGCCTCTCTTGAGTTATTTGAATAACCTGGGTAACGTGTTTGGTTTTTGTTGGGTTTTTTTCTTTTTTTCTTTAATGAAAGCTATGAGCTTGTAACCATTGTAGAGATTAATGTGATATATGTGTATATTTTTGTAAGTTCCGGCCAGGATATCCAAGGAACAAGTGTGGTGGCAAATCTTCCAGTCCTGATGCGACAAAATCCTGCAGAAACACTTCGTCGGGTCTTACCAAAGATCAGAGTAAGTTGTGTGTAATGACGTTTGAATGTATCTTTTCCTGCCAGTATAAGTATCATAGAACCATAGAATAGTTAACATAGAATAGTAGTTTAACAAAGACAAAAAAATGACAATTTACTGCGAACTCCATCTCTAGGAGAGATATGTCCAGTTGATCATCTTCCACATTAATTCACTGAATTTCTGAAGTATTGCAGGCATTAAATCTTTTTTGGGGGAAAAAAGAAAAAAAATTACAACAGGAAAAGAATGCTGAATTTATACTATTTACATATTCTAGACATTTGCCAGTGTTTTGACAGCTTTTTGAGAATTCTTTTTGAGAACCAGCCAATCATAATGGTTCTTGTCAAAATTTTATTTTGAAAGCATTGAACTGTGTTCTTAATTTTATGGACAGACTCAGTTTCCCTATGCATTTTTGGAGGTACGTTTGACATCTTCAGTAGTGTGACTCACTCATGATTTTACCAGGACACTTTGTAGATGGTTTTTTTTTTTCCGTATAATTTAAAGTTCTTTCCCTTTTTAACACAATTTGCCAACAGGATTGTTACTTGATTTTTCAAACAACTAATTCTTAAGATTATTTACATCACTTCAGAAAGGTGAAAAGAGTTTAGCTAGTTGTCCTTTCTATTGCAAGCACTTCAGGGTTGGGAGAAAAAGTCTTCTGTGGTAGCTGCTGTGAGCTTTCTTGCTATATCTGTATCAGATTCTCATTGCTAGGTGTAAGACAGTATATATTAGTAACAAAGGTGAGATGGCTGAGTCACATGCTTACATTACAAAGTTTTCTATCTACCAAGGAGGTGATTACTAAATAGCAAAGTGAGCCCATCAAAAATGATACTTCTTCCCGTAAATTCTCATTTATATTTCATTGTTTTCTTTGTTGAAGTTTTAAAGAACTGAATTGCATCTTTTATTGAAGAGCTGTATGGACATATATCTCTCAGCTGTTTTTAAATCTTTCCTTTCTACTTTTCAGGCAGTTACCTTAACATTGTATTAATAAAAGAATTCCAGAAAAAATATCATATTAGGAAAAATCGGTTTATTTCTTACTTCTTGTTGAATTGGTCTTAAACTGAATCCTCCCTGTGTCCCTTAATGTTAAGAAAAAGGCTGCTCAAGGGACAGTTCAGTATTTATGAATAACTGATTTAATGTCTTACGTTCTGCTCTTTTGTTATGAATGTATTGACTGAAAGATATGTAGGTAGTCTTCAACATGATTACTTAGCAATTATTCTTCTGTAGGATATTTACATGCAAGCCCTGCTGTAGAGGAGTCTTAGGTTCCATGTGGTAGATGTACTCGGTAATACACCAGTAGATGTGTGGACTGCACAGCTGAGAAGAACATGTGGGTCATTATGGATACCAAGTTGAACATGAGCTATCTGTGTGCCTGTGACAGAGCATCCTGGGCTGCATTAGACAAAACATTGTCAGCAGTTCTAGGACAGTGATCCTTTCCCTCTACTCCTCCTTCAACTCTGCTACACCTGGAGTGTCCAGTTCTGAGCTCCCCAGTACCAGAGACACATAGACATACTGAAGAGACTACAGTGAAGGGCCCTGAAAAGGATTAAGGGATTGGAGCATCTCTCTTATAAGGAAAGGCTGAGAGGGCTAAGACTGCTCAGCCTGCAGAAGAGAAGCCTTGGAGAGGATCTTATCAATGTATATAAATACCTGAAGGGAGCATGCAGAGAAGATGGAACCAGGTTCTTCTTAGTGGTGCCCAGTGACAGGACCACAGGCTATGGACAAAAACTGAAACACAGGAGATTCCCTCTGAGCACTGTAAGGGTGACCAAGCACTGGCACCCTTATGTTGATGTTGAGATGAGAGGATGTTGTCTCCTTCCTTGGAGGTATTTAAAAACTGTCTTGGACATGTTCTGGCTCTAGGTGTTCCTGCTTGAGCAGGGGGATTGGACAAAATGACCTCCAGAGGACCCTTCTAGCCTCAACCATTCTGTGATTCTGTGAATATCAGATATCACGTTTCAACTTTTTATTATTTCCTGAAACTTTTGTGATCCCAAATGGGAATACAGTTTTTGATTCTAGTCTTAGGTCTTTTATATATTGATGGAGAAAAAAATTTAAGAGGATGGTCATGAGCATAATGAGAGCCTAGGGCCTCTAAAATACTTGTATAGTTAGAAGTGGAGTTCAGTGTGTTTAGACCAGGCAGTACTTAATGACTTTGTAGAAATATCTTCCTGCAAACTATTGAAGGACATTCAACTGAAAACAGTGTATGAAGGAAGAAGAGTTAGAAATTGAAGACAGAAATATTAGAAATTAAGCAGGCAATTGTAATAATATCTGAGAAAAGTAGTGTGTTTTTCATCTTGCAGTGTCATTTAAATCCAAACTGAATGCCTTCCTAGATGATAAATTAAATGAAACTTAAGTTAATGGGCTTAAGGTATAGGTAAAAGAATGAAATTAATGAGGTCAGTTTAAATCTAAGTGTTCCTTTCAGGTTTAAACTTTATAAATTGAAATTTTCTGGAATGTATATGAGTTAAATTTCTGTGGCTGTACTCTTATAAGTAGGTTCTTCAGTGGTGCTCTGTTATCTCATAATTATTTAATCTGTAATAAATGAACAGTCTGTTGTAACCATGTTCACTGCACTTGTAACTGAAAAATCATTAACTTGACCTTTTTGTTGTTGTTCTTGTTTTGTCTTATCCTTGTTTTTATTGAAGGAGTAGTCCTGGCAATTAAATAGTCTATAAAGGCATAATTGAACTCAACTGTGATTAGAGTTTTTCAAATATAGTCAGACATTGCAGGGAAATAAGGTGACTTAAATTACTGCACTTGGTTTTCAGTTCTGTAGATTGGAAAAAATCATTTGTGAATTCAAATTTGCACATGAAACTTACTATACAACTCATTTTTCATAGAATCATGGGATCGTAACAACCAAAACAACTCTCTGATTCTATGAAAAATGAGTTGTGTGGTAGTTTCAGGATGCTGTTTATCTGAAAGTGTTGTCACTATATAACTGGTAGGGAAACCAGTGTATTTGTTTACGATACTTGCAGAAATGCAAAGCAAAAATAAATACTGCTTTTATTAAAGCTGAGGATAAAACAGCCAGAGGAAGAAATACATGCAGGGAATTATGGCCGCACGCAAAAAGTTGTGGTCAACGGTTCAGTGTCCACTTGGAGACCAGTAATGAATGGTGTCCCTCAGGGATCGGTGTTGGGACCTGTGTTGTTCCATATCTTTATCAGTGACACGGACAGTGGGATTGATGTGCCCTC